CCGTTGTCTAAACGCGGTTCCCAGCCATAAACACGCGGAGAGGATAAAATCAGTGGCGTGACGTGCTTTGCGATACATCGATTGATCTGCCTTTAAACCTATGGAAAAGGATCGGTAAACACGGCGTTCGCGACGAACACCTTAAAAATCGATTCTTTACCACAACTTCAAATGGGAAAATATCGATAATCGATCATTCACGCCTCGCCACGGGATAAAATCCAGGCCTGGGTCGGATCCGGGATTCACGGGCTCCCGATCTCGCACGGACCCTGGGCGTTCGCACGTGGTCGTAATTTCGGTTTGTTACTCTGCCGTGCTAAGGAAGAACGCCGTTCAGGCGTTGCCAAATTTCTTTAGATAAAATACGATTGTTTTAGCAGATATGTGAATATTTTTCCTCAAAATTTGTGGACAATTTTGTACATAATTTATTCTAAATTATCTGACGATTTCAAAGAAAAATATGCATAACATTCCTCAAAAATACATGATTTTCCGGGGAAATTTGACAACCCTCGAATGTTCATATGGCGTTCTTCATTATACGACGGCAGTGCAGGGGTCACGTGGCCGCCGAGGAGGGAGATGCGCGCGAAACCGCAGGGTTCGCGCATCCAACGGGACCCAACCGAGGCGCCACGTTTTTCGCACGGAGAAAAAGGAATCGTGGCTCTTCTGATGCTATGGGGCAAAATTTCATGAAAATGCACGAAAAATACTTCTGGCTACGCGACTTCGTGAGCTACGAGACATCGTTGCCACCATTCCAAAACGCCTTCAATTTAGTGTGATACTTCATCGCCCACACCGGAGTTAAAATATTTGCATCGAAAATCCTTGTGGATCTTTATGAAAACTTGTGGGATCTTTCAATCGTTCATCGAACATTCATGAAGTGCGTAGGCGGACCTGAAGGTAAGAAAAAATAGGCACGGACCTTAGATGGATGCCGCAAGTACTGTTTCAAAATAACTAAGTACGATTTCACAATACATTTAGATCGCTTAAAAATTAGGAGGTAACAGTACTTTTGAATTTAGTAAAAAATTAACAGGTTTTTGACAACTTAAAATAGGAAGAAAAAAAAACAATGTATGGAGCTTTTAGCCAATTCAGTGGAAGCGAAACTATATACAGTCAGGCCATACTTGACAATGAAACAGTAAGCAAGAAAAGTACATGTTTTTTAAAAAATTAGTTTTACATGGTGACAATATCGGCAAAAAGCTCAATACTTCGTTTTCTTTCTTTTAAACTTAGAGTATGGCTTTAAAGAATTTTTGTTAAAAAATTTTTCTAGAGAAATGATCGAGGGTCTGACAATGAGATCATTTCAAAAATCAGAATGACTAAAATCCACGATGTACAAGTACATACTGGAGTTGCGACAATACGCGGAACTTTAAGCTGAGAAATCCATCTTCTGGACCTCGGCTGATAGTGAGAATAAAAGGCGAGGAACTGAATTTTTAAAAACAATTTTGTGATCGCTTTCAAATTGCACACAAAAATACGACTCATCGCTCGAATAGTAGTACTTCGTTTACTCAAAAACTAAAGTTCAATGCAATCCAAACTTTCGTAATGGCGAGCCAACGTTCCTCTGCCGTAAATAGTCAAAATAAAAAACACATACACACGCCTAAAATTGTTGATTATTGACGAAAGTTCCCGAGCAGTAAACCAAGTTGTGGTCCAGCAGTGCAGTGCTGATAGGCAGAGCTTTCCGATTACGTTCCAAACAGGAGCTAGAAAACAATATTTCAAAGCTTCTCAATTTTCACTGCTTTCGAAATGTCTCAATAATGTGCTGAAAAATAACAACGCCTCGAGTGAAACTTCCATTGAACGGAGCTTGAGGACGGAACATTGCTCAACTTGAGGGGAAAATTGCAGAAAAAAATTAAGCAGCCCAGAGTGCATTGGTCCCAAGCTTTCTCAAACCGGACTACCTGTTCACGTCATTTTAGAGTCCACGCCAAAAAAGTTTACGAACTTTTCGACTGCGACAGAGGATCGTCTGACATCAGTTCAGCATTGAAAAAAAATGTAATAATCAACATAGCGGATCTTCCGTCGCAACCTGAAAGTACGTGCTCTGATTTGCCGTGCGGACTCTGTACATACAAATAAAACTCAAAACAAAAGTTTAGTTAATGAGGAAAGTAAAACACAAAATAACCCAAGCCCACGGTTTACTCTGGGGTTCTCCAGTCTCTCAATTGGTTTCTGTGCTAAATGCACTGCAAATTGTACCAAAATCAACACAAAACTTGGGTTAGTTTGTGTTTCACTTCCTATATTAACCAAAAGTAACACAAGAACACAAATATTTTTGTCAGTGTAGAGGAATAATTCGCAGCGGTAAGGTTACATCGCCGAAAGAATGACTACATAATTAAAATTGAACTCTCTCATGAACGGTTCAACTTGATTCTGTCCAGACTAGTTGCCCAAGAATTATCACCCGAATTAAATCTCTCACAATGGACAAAACTATGATATAATTCACATGGTGAGATTTTGTCATCACACAACAGGACTTCCGGTGTATAATTTCACGGTATACGGTGTCCCCCAATTGAGTGACTAATAGTAAGTAGATAATTATTCTTTCCCCTAAATCAACTAGGCTTTAAGTTCATCCTACACCGCACATAAAATGATGAGCTCATAATAAGCAATGTGTATTTTACGGCAATACATCTTATACTTATACGGAAATTAAATTTTTGTGTTTTTTTTTTCGTCTCGAAGATTTCCGGTTCTTGCCTCTTTTTAGATTTTCATTGACGAAAAGGAAACATAAATAATGAAACTTTTATTGCTTGATGATCAAAACAGAGACGCCTCTTAGTTCTTATGTAAGGTTATGTATTGATTAATGATATGATTTGAAGAGTTCGGCTTGACTGAGCACGCAGTCCGAAATATTATGGTTTCACAGAAAATTCAATAAGATCACTTTTTTAACGGATCACTTAGCCAGACAGTTGAAATTAAACTGAATAAAATATACTTCAAGTTTTTCTTGAGCATTTGCTTTAAAATACTAGGGAATCGCTGATTTGAATTTCCATTGAAAAAGTGACAACAAGAAATGCAGTATTGCTATCTTGCAAAATCACTACCCCGAAAAACGCAGGGTTCATTCGATGGTTGCCAGTGGGTCCTTTTCCTCAGAAGTTCAATTTCTTACATACTGGTGCTTTCTTCGATAACAAGGCAGAAAAATCTCTAACATTCCTTGGTTTCTTCTGTGGAGCTTTACGAAAACTACCTATCCCTTGAAACGTATCTAAGGGATTCCAATGTGTCTGGAATCCGATCATCCCGATATTTTTCTGAATTTTCCACATTTCCGGTGGAAAGTTTCCTGCTGAAACCCCGATGTTTCCTTTCAGTCACCATCGGCTTTCCTTGAGAAATATTACATTATTTTTGTGACACTCAGAATTAGCAATCAACTTCTTCATCGTTTGTAAAACTTTTACTGATAAGCGCTCCGTAAAATCGGTCCTACACAATCAAGCTTGGTAGAAAATAGAAGAATAGAATTTCAAAAAAAAATTCAAAACCTTTTAAGCACCATCAATAGTTGCTGAGATTCCACACAGTGTTTCTTACCGTGAAACAAACTGAATGCGCTGAGTGGTATGCTGTTTTAGCACCTAGGATGTCAAAAATATGTCTGGTGATCCTAAGATGCTACCTTGATTGCCCAAGCAGTTGAATTTGCATTCATACGATATAAAGTTAACTGCCAAGGCAGTAAAGGCTGCATCTTGGGATCACCAGACACATTTTTGACATCCTAGGTGCTAAAAAAGGGTATTATTTTTTTCAATGTATTTTTTCTTGAATTTTTCACCAACTTTAAACCAACTTGCGCGTGAAATTTTTGGAAAACTTGAAAGGTAAATATCCAACAGTTTCCTTTAAAATTAGTTTTTAGTCGTAGGAAATTTAGCGACGCCTAAAGGCGCATACGGAGTTTTTCCTTTGCACGTCAGAATACCCATGGTGCTGGTCTGCTGGTGCTTCACGGTATCAGGTTTTGAATTTCCAAACCCTCATTGTTCATCCCTATCATAATTATCGATGACCAAACGAAACGACGTATCTTCGCTAACAACGTTGCAGACTTTCTTTCATAGTTTATTTGAAAATTTCCTTGATTCTTCTGCTCTTCTAGCAAAATATTCTGCATAAATTTTAGACAGGCTCGTTATTCCTTGTCAAAAGAATAAAATAGGAACAGAAATTGTAAATCATCGGCTCTAGAATTCTGGACCATGCTGATTCCCTGATTTTCCTTGGTTTTCAGGAGCGTATTCCCTGACGAGAAACCAGAGTTTTTTTTCTACTTCCCCGAGATTTTCTGGAAAAATCAGTAAAATCAGGTATCAGGAGTTCCAGGTATGAATTCTAATTTTATTCAGTTCCCATTCAAATTCTTACTTTCATAATCGTTCTTGAAGTTTATATTACCTGATCAATGAAAGCCTTTCCATAGTTCGGATGAATTTCAGATTCAAATGTTTAATTCAAGCGGTAGACAAGGAGATTCCCGATTTCTGGAACAGATTCCCTAATTTTTCCCTGATTTGCCATACATTGTTTGATTCCCTGATGTATTCCGGGTTTTTCCGGTCCGAGACGGTGTGTTTTGAATACGTGGTTTTGCACATTTTCCAGCGATAAGTTTCCCTAATGAGCAAGAACACACCGAAAAAAATAATATGCTGTTTTAGCACCTAGGATGTCAAAAATGTGTCTGGTGATCCCAAGATGCTACCTCTACTGCCTTCGCAGTTAACTTTACATCCTATGAATGCAAATTCAACTGCGTGGGCAATCAAGGTAGCATTTTAGGATTACTAGACACTTTTTCGACATCCTAGGTGCTAAAACAGCATACCACTTTTTTCAATGAATATTTTTTTTTTTTCTTTCTTTCTTTTTCTTTCTTTATTCTTAAATGTAATCTGGCTTACTTTTCTTGGGGTATCCTCGTGGTCCTCGGGTTCGGGTTCGTCGGCTACTTGCTGTAAACGGGCACCACCTTGGAGTTCATCACTAAGTCACTTGGGGGAGAATCGGCGATAACTCACGGTTTCGACTGGGGTAATTGAAGGACGCGCGGCCGGTGTCGTGACCGGCGGGGTCAACGGGATCGTGGCGCGGAGGACGCGACACCTCACTTGGGAAAACGACGAACTGGACGTGGACGGCACCGCACTGACGAAAGCGTCGCGACGACTGCCCGCGGAGCGCCCGCCGCACCGGCTCCCGGCCCGCCAGCGACCCCCACCACCGGGCCGCCGCACAGTGCGGCATCCTTATTGACGACGCGGACAAAAATCGGTAAGAGACGCTTTAAATAATGAAGGTAGTAGCACCGACATAGGAAAACCCTTTGGCACTATCAATGTGAAACACTCGAGGAATAAGAAGATGTTCTATCTCACGATTATTAGCGTATTTTTCGAGAAAAGTTCATTTGAAGTTGGCAACCTCGAATTAGCCTTATGTTACAATGTAATAGCAACGTGAAACACCCAAACTTTAACTTCAAATATCTCTGATAGTCGCAAAAAGTAGCAAGATCTTTTTCATAGAATTGAAGTTGGATATCTGAGGATTAAGGAACTGTCAAACACCCAGAGCATTTTGCGTTTCAAGCGAGAAATGTTCATTTGAAGTTGACGTCTTTTTCCCGTGTATTTCTTATGGATCAGTGATTCTCGATCCATTTCCTGACCGCACTTTCTGTCCAAACTTTGAGTAATTTAGAGCGAAAAATTTAAAAATAAACTATCATTGTGAGTCAGAAATATCTTTAAGATGACAAACTCCGAAAAACATATTCAGATATCGAGTTGTGAATTGTTTATTTTTGTCCACAGAGGGCCGCACTGTGCGCCGCCGCAAGGTGGATCCAGTCAGTAGGAGAGGTCCAACAAAATTGGAAACTTTAAACGCTTACGACTCCGTTTATACAAAAATTTGAAGTTTGAAAGTGGTACCATCGGTTTACTCGTAAAATTTTCTTTTGGTAGCACTCTTGGAACTTTAAAATGCAACGAAATACGCATCAAACTTCGCAGTTTTTGTCAAAAATTTCATGTCCGACCTCTCTCATTGACTCAATCCGCTGTGCGTCGCACGGAAGATCAAGTCAATCAGAGAGGACCCGCATGAAAGTTTTGACAAAAACTGCGAATTTTGATGTTTAATTCGTCAAACTGTGAATTCAGGATGTCTAGCAATTTTCAGGAAAAAAAATTCCCTAACATTTCCGAGACTACCCTCACAAAAACGGCCGGAAAACCGGGAAAAATTCAAAATTCCCTGACGGACGGAAGAGGTAATTCCCTGACATTTCCCTGACAAAAAGGGAAAAGTTCCTAATTTTTCGACACGTTTGAACTGATTAGATGTAAGTAAGAATTTTTTTTTCATGTTTTAGGAATAATATGTAATAAATAAGGCAAAATATGTGCATTGGTACTTGAACTTATGCGAGAACTGTTTGCTTCATTTTTAAAATTTAAGAGACATCAATAGAAAGTCTGCATGGTGGAAGTTTTAGTAATCTCCGCGAGAGTAAAATTTGCAAAACATTTTCTAAAACAGGTTCAACTACAGAGGGCGAAGTTCCAGGTTCGGGAGCCGTACCTCCGCTTGCTCCGGGTGCTACACCCGGAACTTTCTGCCTCTGAGCTCGGAACGCGGATGACAGTACGTCTAAAGAGCCAGTAAGCACGGCTTTCATAGCCGGAGTTTTGTTTTTCAGTGCACATGATTGGCGTTAATTTCCCCCGCGACGCCATTAGCGATGTTTTACACGTCGCGTCATTATCGTAACCCCTTTCTAACCTCCCCTAACACGGTTAGCGGTGAAATTCGAGTCTTCGCGCCCGATAGTCAAGCTTCACATTCTCGTGTTGAGCTTTTCAGCGATCTGAAGAGTCCGTTTTGTCTGCGGTTCGACCGTTCCGTTCGGTCCCTGCCACCGATTAACCTCCAACTCCCACCGTCTACTACCGTGCGTGGTGCGGTGGATACCTCGAGACACGGTGTCGTTTGTGGTCGTCGACGCGACGCACACTGGTTCGAGTCAACAGGAGAGGTCGGACAAAATTTGAAAACTGGAAACCGTGAATCGACCGACAAAGCCTTGAATCGGTTGAAATCACCGTAAATCGATCGACAATACTCGTAAGTCGATCGGAAACACTGTGAATCGATCGACAAACCTGTGAATCGACCAAACACACCGTGACAAACCCGTAGATCGATTAAAAACACCGTGAATCGATCGACAAACCTGTGAATCGACCAAACACACCGTGACAAACCCGTAGATCGATTAAAAACACCGTGAATCGATCGACAAACCTGTGAATCGACCGAACACACTGTGACAAACCCGTGAGTTGATCGACAAACGCCCGTAAATCGATCGACAGAAACATGAATTGATCGAATTTTGTCAATCGAATCTGTGTCGTTCGATTCACGTTTTCATTCAACGATCAATCATTCATGTCGATCAAGTACACACCAATCATTTTTCGATTGATTGCGCCGATAGATTCACATTTCCATTTTTCGATCGAATCATGTCGATGGAATCCATACCTTCTTGATAATCCATTCGTGGTTAGCCGTGGTTACGAGAGCCACTTTCATCCTAGGCCACGGACCGGGAGAAACCACTCGGCCTTCAGTTGCTTGACCTATGACCCCTGGTCCGTGGTTCTGCTGCCCCGGTCTTCAATACGCTCAATTTGTGTCGAAAAATGAAATGCAGTCCTAGCCTGGAATCGATGCTAATGATGAGACTGTTACCACTGTCCAGTGTCCATTAGAGTACGTGTCCATACACCCACACCTAGTGGTAGTTTAGTGTGTATGAAACGGGCAGTATTGACTAGAATCGTCCTGTGGACTGGTAATTGAAATTTAGAGACAAAGCTATAGACATACAAGACGAAAGAGATATGGAGGGATCCTATTGGTGGAAGCGGGTGGTTGCAGTGGACGAAGGAGGTAGGCAATAGACTTACTTACTAACGGCAACTCGCACGAGAGACCAGATAGTCAGTCCATCATTTTCTCCCTTAGCCTATAGGAATCACTCATTTCAACCAATTGGATCGCCTCATGCTCCATTGCTCCCTACGTCTTCTTTGCCTATCGCTTTGTCTATCAATTTCAATCATCAGTCCGCTGATGACATTACACCTCGTCTATTTAAGCGTAAATAGCCAGCATTTGCCTGACTGTTAACCCACTAATAAATAGCTTCCACCCGAGGATCGCACAGTGCTTATCACGACTAAAAACTTCGATTCTATGTTCTTTAAAGTATTAGGAAGTTTTCAATATCGAAAACTGAGAATCCATATTCCTGACCTGAACCGGATTTTTCGCTGCAGTGAGCAGTTTGAGTTAGTGTGAGAGACATAATACACCTCTGGCAGATGCTCTTGACTAAAGAATGAATTAAATTAGTTGCAAATTAAATGTTGGTAATCGCGAATCGAATCGCACGCGAAATTCGCAAGTTGTAACATCCCAAAATGAATATTAAAGAATTTAAAGTATTTTCCCTCTGGGCTACGGATACAGACAAGCAAAGATCTCTAACTCGTCGTTGAAACACAAGAATGTCTGCCTAATCAATTAGACGATTTGAAAGAGGGCACTTATTCACAATTACCGGCTACTGATGATAATACTAGGACGAGACAACCGGTCATCAGACGAAATAACCGCTGTGTAATAGTGGCGAGGCGTGAATGACCCATTATCGATAATTCCCCATTTACAGCTAAGGTAAAGAATCGATTATTAAGGTGTTCAATGCGGTCACCCTGTCTATCGATCCTTTTCCGTAGGTTCAAATGGCAGATCAATCGATATATCGCAAAGCACGCCACGCTACTCGGCCACTGCTGTGTAACTATGGACTGGCGTTGACTGAGTTAGTAATTTATCGATAGTTGACAAGGCCCGTATCGGTTCTGCAATCACTCACGCACAGTTGGATCGGTAGATGATAAAACAGAACGTGTCCATTTCTTCATGAGCCTTTGGCTCAGCAAGAATGAATGCTGAATGTTTATTTTAGGGCTCTTAAAATAAATCGATCATTTTGGAAAGGGGCTGTCCTCAGTTTCTTAAAGTTAGACGGAGAGCGAAAGACCGCTCAGAAAGCGGGGCATTATTGAAATAATAATCAGAGGGAGAAGATGATCATGATGAAAAAGCGACGTGCGACAAGGAAGTCCATTGAGAAGGAAAAGTTTGGTCCAATTGTTGTGGGTAAGGTTGCATGAGCGCCTTCAATTTTTCGGGTATGGAACACGCACGCCCACTGAGCAGGTTTAGTTGCGTCCGGGCTTTGTTATTAAGAAAGCTAGAGCGCTCTGAGTTTTTAGCCAGCCGATTGGACTTTGTTTTTTTGGAGCTGGATGTGTGAATCGATAAGCATTAAAAACGTCATTAACTCGCTCCTTGGTGACTTGAATTTTGAGGGTATCAATGCGAAAATTGTAATATACGTAAGATTTCGATAAAGACAGCTTTTAAAGCCAGAATGTCACCGCAATAAATGTGAAATTTATTGCGGTGCTTAAAACCATGTAGGTACACAAACTGCAGGCTTTCTCAGCCCCTAAATGTTTAGTTTTTTTGTCATGGTTCGTTTCACCGTTGTACGGGGCCGATTTCCAAGATTTTTACGGCTGTCGATAGGCCATAGCCTCTGTATGAGCCTGCCTCAGACTTGGGAAAAATCCTGGTTTTTTTCTTTTAAATCACGCGATGAAGGTGCGAACTCTCCTATTTAGACAATGTAGTAGATCATTTTTTGTCACAGTTGTTATCGTCCAAATTATCTACCTGTGGGCCGGTTCTTGAAATTGATAGAAAAAGCTATTGACAAAGAAGACATAAGGATTACGGAGGGATCCTATTGGTGAGCGAGTGCTTGCAATGGGCAAAAGAGGTAACAGACTTACTGACGGCAACCCATCATGAGAGACCCGACAGTCACTTCATAATTTTCTCCCTTTGTCTATAGGAACCACCAGCTTCAACCAATAGGATAGCTTCTACGTCTTCTTTGACTATGGCTTTGTCTACCAATTTCAACAATCAGCCCGCTGGCCAATTTTCATAATTTTTGCAGCTATCGACAAGAGATCATCCCCAGATGAGCCCACTGCACTTACATAAACTGACAGGACCCCGCGCGCCG